CCAGTACTATGAAATTTAAACCTCATAGTGGTAGATCTATTGTCTAACGATCTGCATTGCAACTTTTTAAAACATTTCAACAATTGCTGTACAGAAGTTGCTGGAACGCGTACCGATTTTGAGTGAACGATGCTTTAGCGGAACTGAATATTAAAATCTTTTAACTTTTCCAGAACGGCATTCCATCCGACTCTGAAGAATTTTGGATAATTGCTTACTTATTGAAACCCGCAACAGGCACTAAAATAATTGGAAATATAAATAAATTCACATTATTATCCTTGCGGCACTCAAATGCTTTTGTTGAGCGCGTGTTTACCGTAATGAATTCAACAAAAACTAAGATTCGAAATAGGCTGAGATTGGAAAGCTTTAATTCAATAATTCGAATAAAATTTTATATGAAGGCTTATAGTTTCTGCTGCAACACGTTTCCAATATCAAACAATATGTTATCAAGGTTGAATAGCTCAATATATTACAACACAAAAGTAAATGAGGATGTTCACGCTTGCCTGGTTATCAGCTTATGTGGTTAAGTGGTTATATTTTTTATTCAGTTTACAGCTATAAAATACACTACATAATAATAATTTTTAACCAGATAACCTAATAACCAGGCAAGCGTGAACCACCTCAATGATTCAGGCACTATAGACGATGTTAAAGAAATTGTGGAAATAGCTGATCTCGCCTTATTATAGCTTTTTATTTTATTTTTAGTGCCGAGGGCTTAAAATCGGATTGTGCGATTAATTAATTAATATGAAGTATAATAAATTTATTAATTGCGCAGTCCTATTGCAAAATGTGTTAATACAAATATTTTTTAAAAGTATGCATATTTTTAAAGAAGATTGTTTGTACATCACTCTTTGTGTTATTTATTATTACTATGTTATTTATTAAGTCTAGACTAACTGAGCTTTTAGTGTGCCTAGTGCGTTTATGCACAAGCACAAATTCCTGCTTTCTCTATCACGTCAGGTTTGTGAGATATTCCAACCTAAATGCCCCAAAAAAGTTTTTTTTTTGTACATATTTTAGGTTATGTAGCATCGCAAATAAATTTGTTTCACAGAAAACTACTTAAAGTATCTAAAAAACAAATCTTCCCCTTTTTGGAGTTTGTCCAAATATATTTTTCTTTCGCGGAGATGTCGCATATTGAAATTTCAATATCCTTTTTCGAACCTTCGTACCACACATTACTTACAAAATGCGATATCTCGAAAAAAAATAATAATTGAGAAAACTCGACGGCATTTAAAAGATTAAGAGTAATACTACATGACCTCAAATATGACGGAAAACAGTGCATTCAAATCACCAAAATGAATGTAAATGTTTTTTTTTTTGCTGCCCCTTTATCATTTTCTTCGCTATCTCAGTTAATTCTATTTGACATACACGTTGCTACATACATACATATGTATGTTTCGACTTAGGATGACTGTATGACTGACTGACGGACATGTTCAGGTTAAGGGGGCGTTGTAAGGTGAGAGGAGTCAACACAACGCCCATGGCTTCGCGTCGGTTGAACGCTGAAGAGGGTGGCTAGACTCCGCCTGACAGCACTGTACTTTTCTTTCGTCTCTTTTCGTACTTTCGTTCCTTTTTTTTTAATTTTTTTCTTTTGCTTCATTCTGCCACATATTCGGCATATGAACTTCAACTTTTTGGTTAAGGTAGCGCTAGTGAGGCGAGAGCGAAAGACCCACCCCATCCGATGAGCTATGCCTGGGATCGCGATCATGCCGACTCGCTACTCGACCTTGCAACCAACCTGCAGCTACATAACAAACCTGAGGGGATATATTATAAGACCATATTCGGATATAGCACACCAAAATCCTTTGGAAATGTATATTAGTGTTTCTGCTACCAAAAAAAAGTTAATCTTTGTTGGCCTGTATTATTAACATGTTACATTTTTATGTAATCGCATAGCTTTCTAGAAATTTGGCATGCGGCATCATGGCAATCATAAGCCTTGTTTGATATAACATAATCTTACGATACATAACGTAAGCATGCAGTGTTGTAGCATGTAATATGAGAAAAGGAGTCGGATTGTGATTGATTTCATTTTTATTTACTCATCAGTCTCTCGATTTAATTTTATTCAATTGATCGAAACCCAACAAGCAAAATAAACCTGAAGATTTTTTTTTAAGTTTACAATTAAAAATATTAAGCGAAAGCTTAAAAAACGTTGATTTTTTGTTTATAAAACGCTTGAAAGTAAGCTTAATATAATTGAAATGAAATCTTATAAGTGTAGAAATGTAAACTTATAATAAATGTTCAAAAGAAAAGTTTTTTATGAGCGTATAAATGTAAACTTATAATAAAGGTTAAAAAAAGTTGTTTACTAAAAATTTTCAAAATAAAGCTTTATGTAAACGTTTTTGTAATCCTTTATTTAAACAATATTTCATTAATAACTCATATATTATACATACATCGCTCAACATCTACCCGCCCTTGTTGCAGAACCCTGTATATACCATACATACATATCGATACTGCAAAACGTTCTATGTCAATTATGATCTTGAGTAATTAACAGCTCTGTCACCTGTATCTGATCGCTTCTCTTAATCGATCATTTTCATTAGCCAAAGGGAGAAAGTTTTGTCGCTAGTTTAGCATATAAATTCACGATAATACACAAACATTAAGCATAAAAAAGTTAGTTATTATATCTAGTTGCGTTGTGCAGCTTTTAATTACTTGCGGTTATTGGCAAATTGAAAAAACGACTTGGATGCAGCTGTATATTCCGCTTCATCGATGCCATTCTCATGTACAAAGTTTTCTTATAAATATGTAATACATTTTTAATCATTTGAAGGCTCGAATGTTCCACCGATTAGCGCAGCGGGTCCTGGATTGGAATTAGCATTATGTTAAATTTGTTCTCCGCGGACTTCACTATTCATAAGCAAATTTATAATTTATTTACAATCTTTTTTCACTTTTTGAACGCGACACTTCTGCCTATTTTTATCGCATTGATTTAATTTTTTTCATAATTAAAATATACTTTAAAGAACGTAAACACGTCACAATTGGAAAAATTTTATATTTACAGCTTCATTTCGTTAACATTTGCATTTCATTTTTGTGTTTAAGTGATTTATAAACATTCGCCCTTAACACTTATTAAAGGCTTATTTGAAAACAACTTTAAATAAACCTAATATTAAAAACGCTTATTTAACGCTTATTATTGCAAACTTACTTGAAGTTATTTTTAAAAACATTTACTGAAATGCTTGTTGGGATATACATATGTACTATAATTACGGTGACCATTCGTACCGATTTTGGCGGGACAGTACCAATTTTGAGAAAATTGTTCCGCTGAATATTTTTTAAAAGTCGGGACGTATAAGTGTCCCGATTTTTCATATTTGTGATGATTAAGTCCAGATTTTTAGTGACTCTCCCTGCGCTCTGGCCCAAAAACAATAAACAAATAAATAAAAAGGAATAAATATACATAAGTGAGCCATAAACATAGCCAGCATCCTTATTAATAATATATAAATAATTCCAATACCCTCAAAAAAATCGTGGATCATCAAAATTTTGAGCTTTTTTATTAAATTTCTTAGAAACATTCTGAGTATGCAGTTTTGTAACCTATTCAATTCAAAGTGCAAATTTTAAGTAGCTAGGACTTACCGTTGATATTTGGTAAATTTTGTGGGAGGTGTTGCTCATTGCGAAGAAAATGCGGGAACAAAAAATTGACAAAAATCAACGGTAAGTCCAAGCTTTTGCCAACACGTTTTTTTAGATAGTAGGTTATATTTTCATAAAAAAATAATAAACATTTTTAATTTTTTTTTCTCTTTGTTTTGCTTTAAATAAAACTAGATTAAGCATTTTTGTTCGAAAAACAAAATTGTATGTTCGGATGCTCTTGCAATGTCCCGATATTTGGCCACAGAAGTCTGGTCACCGTAACTATAATTGATATGTATTGATTGAAAAGTGTATATACATATGTACATGTGTATATGTACATATGTACATGTGTATATGTCAATCCAAAAAATACAATTTTTGTTAAGTACGCAGAAATTATGCCCAACTCTTCTTGAATGCATGTTTCATAGATGTATCGATTACCAGTAGTTCAGTAGAACAAAATATGTATAAATTTTTACTATGGAAGTATATGTAAATTAAAACTTTAAAGTCGCTTTTCTGGAGTTTGGTTTTTTGCAGTTATGACACTATTAAAGTAAATGAGCGATATCTTCACACATAAGTAAGTGCATGTTAAACATCATCAAAGTTTCTTCTTTAGCTTCTAAAAGGACACAAAAGGCAAATTGTAAATCGTTTAACCTGTGTTCATTAATAAAAACTTAAAAAATTACTTTCAGATTTGTGGCTCAACTCCTATGACCGGACAGCCCTATAGGGGGGCAAAAACTGTGGAACCGTGAGTGTTCGGTTATGGAAGGTTTCACTGTATACATATTATTTAGACTCATGTAGATAGACTACTACAGACTTGTAAGAGGATGTTTCTTATAAACGGTTCTACAATTATGGAACCGATTACTTTGGTTCCATAAAATCTTTTCTTTTAAGCATTGGTGCTTACAACCGTTTCTCTTACATAATATATTATATTTGCTTTTTTATAAGTATTATATTACGTTAGACTTGTTGCAAGACAAATAATTCTTATAGCCATACAATAAGTACTATATATACATAAATGTGCTATGGGGTCACACGTGTATTTAAAAGGTATACGCTAACAAAACTCTCATGGAAGCTATATAGTTTTGGTTAAACCGGAATCATTTTGGTTAATAATATGTACATGAATCATGCATACGTGTACATAATTTAGAAATAATAACAAACAATATTCCAAAGAGGTATATAGAGAACAAAACCGTTGAAAAGCTCGCTACAGGTCAATTTTTTTAGTATACGCATAATGCAATGTAAAACAAAATACTTACCTGCCTAATAAGTAGTTGCTGCCAAGATCGTAACCTCCAGTTAAACGTGAAGCCACCAACCGCTCTGACTGCGATGTCAAACACACTGAAAGTGCTGCTTCCTCACCAAAGCACCTCGAGGTGTTTTCAGGTTCCCTCTCGTTATTATCATTTCTACAATGGTATTGCAATTGTGTCGTCGATGGCAGTAATTGTTTTTGTTGTTCTGGCCGATGGTAGTCATTAAGATCCGTCCACTCCTGAATATATGCAGACTTGTCGGTATCACCATACTCACACATTATCAGAACGCTTTATATGTAGGCTAATAGTAGTTAGTAAGATTAACGACAACACAATTGTTCATTATTGCATACATACGTAAATGAAAAATTCTCTTCGCTGTTATTTAATGAAGCTGCAACTGCCTCTCTTTGTGACTAAATGGATTTTGTTTATTCTGACCGAGATAAGATTACCTTTTATATGTACATTACATTATCAATATAAACGTATGATAATAAGTAACATACAATGTTGCTTTACTACTTAAAATCAGTGAGTTGATCTGTTCAGAAGGAAGCAGTCAAATTTCATATTCATTCTTCTTAAAACACAGCACCCGTGATGTAACCTTTGAACGATAGCCAAAAAAGAACAGTAAGTTCACAAATGTAACTTCCCCGTTCGATTGAAGGAATTGTATTTAGCCGGTTACTTAAAGATGCCCGAAAATTCCCAATCAAAAATACGTTTAGAAGGCTTCGAGCGATGGATATGACCAGCAGTTAAATTAAATTAGCAAACCTTGGACTTATGAATGATCGAAAAATAGAAATCGAGTGCGACTTTTAAATTTTACTTGTCAGGGGGTTTATCTTTCCGAAACCATTTACTGTCTTGCCTTTAATTTTTCCACAGATGTTTTGCAAATTACATTTATCCGAGGCCAATTTATTCATTTTATTCGGTTCACAATCTTTTATACCAAATCGAATAATCAAAATCACAAATCGAATAATAAACAAAAACAGCTGCTGCAAGGCGAATTTATACATATATTTATAAATATACACATCCAAGGCGAATTTATAAAAGGTGGTGTTCAAGACAAGGCGAATTTATGCAAGGTGGTGTTCAAGGCGAATTAATATAAGGTGATAGCAGGAGTACAAAAACAAACATTTACATGAATTTTGTTTTTGCTTTGGCGGCATAAACTGTCAAAATCTGTAAGAGCGTGTGTAGAAATTCAAACAAAATTTTTCAATTTGATATCAGAAGAAGTGCGGCGAAACACATACACAAAATCAGCTGAGCTAGTAACAGAGAACATTTAACAAATGTTCTCTGGTACAAGGTGGTGTTGATGGCGAATACTTCTATTGTCAAAATTATATAAATTCGCCTTGACCCGCAAGCAAATGAAATTGAATACAGCCAAAGTAAAATGGCGAAGCCAAAGGTGACCGTATTACCTTTTTGTATTCCAAGTTATAGAAAAAACATTATAACACGAAATATTATTTGTTGGTTGAACAATATACTTATCGGTTGGTTAAATCTGGCTTAAAGTAAAATAAATTGTGGGAATTTCCCTTTGTTTATCATTTATATTATTTATCATTTTCTCATTTGGCTTCTTTTTTTCTAAATATTTTTACCCAAATTATAAATGCGACGAAATGGTATCAGCAAAAATAAAATACCCAGCGGGGCGACAGAAATCAATATATCGTCACGAAACGCCGCCGAGCGGACTTCACATTTCGCTTGGGTTGCCTTAATTTTCATATGCTGCGGGTGTTCTAATTGTGAAATCGCGAATTTTGCTGTGCAGAGTTCGCCGTTCGCCGGTATTGTGTGTCAGCTATTATGCCTGGGTGAGAAGTGAAACACAACTCCTACGAACGGCGAACTTACTACAGCGAAATTCGCGCTTTCAAAATTAAAACACCCGCGTCGTCGAATTAGAACGCCCTGTCAAAATTAGAATTAGGTATGTCAGAAGAAAGAGAAAGTTGTGCGGTTTTTATAGAAATATTTATGCACCAACTCAATAAAACTAAATTTTACAAAATAGTGTTGATATACATTTGTATGTATGTATATACTTTTTATGGACATTTTTTTAATTGTCCTTTTTCTAAAATTGGTTTTAAACATGGTTATGGTATATACGTCGCATAAAAGGTATTTAGATTATCTACAGATTTACATCAATATTTTTCCAATCATTCGAGTAGTTTCCGAGATATACATACATATACAAAATTTAAAAGTTGAACTTTAACCTCTTATATTTAGATTGAAATAAATGAAAAAGTTCTATCGATCCGCATTTTTGGTTTTCTTCTAACTAAACAGCTGGTATTCTAGACTTGTTCCAATGACGCAATCGAGCCAATGATGCCAGCGAATTTTTAGTATGAAGAAGTTTGCCTTTTACCAATTTTAAAAATTAGATGATACTTAAGGAGGTCAAGCACAATGTGTGTACCAAATTAGGTGCAGATTCGTGCTGGTTGCGGGTCATGTATGGTGCTAAACAAAACAAATATTAAATCAAAGTCGAATTTTATCTTTGAGTATAGTGATTTCTAGCGTATCGCGATTTTAATGAAGGCATTTTAATCAAATTTAACAGTAACATTTTCTTATAATCAAGGTACTCAAGGCAACATCAGAAATAGTCTCTTATATCAACATTTGTGACACTTATTTTAAACGGGCTGATATGAACTTTTCATAATTCCGTTATAACTAAGCTTGAAGGCTTATTAAGCGCACACTTGTCTATACCAATCTTTGCTATCTCTGCACCGCGGATTAACGCACATTGGACAACGCATCAAAAACTTAGGGTTTACAGTTTGTTTATCATTTAGATGTTCCGCTACTATTGAACTTAAGGCCTTAATGAAAAGTGGGTGATCATTTGGTGCAGCAGCACGCCTTATCTCCTCCACACCTACCTAAATGAAAAAAAAATAATTAACTCAGTCAATCATTTTTGCATACGTTTGCTTACTTACCTCTTTAGCCAATTCATCGCAATATTCGATGTCCAATTCATGTAAAGTTTCAATGTGCTCATTCACGAATGCAATTGGAACTAAGATAAAATTCTTACGACCCTGTTTTACGTAAGCCTGAAGGAGATACAAAAAAGTTTTGGTGGTAATTATGATAGAATTGAATATATCTTTACTCTAATGGTGTCATCGGTAGCCGGCGCCAACCACGGTAAAGGCCCCACTTTCGACTGCCAAGCTAAAGTATATGGATTCGATTTCCCTAGTTCTTGCATAACCAAATGCACGCTGGCGCCCACCTCTGATGGGTATGGGTCACCCCGATTGACAGCTTTCAATGGCAGTGAATGTGCAGTGAAAAGGATAACAACATCGTTCCGTTTTGTCTCACCAAATTTCTTTAATTCCTCTCGTATGCGATCGGCGAATGTTTTAATTAATAGAGGATGAGTTGACCAACGGTCAATCACACTAAATCTTGTATTTTTTGGAAGGGAACTACAAAAAATAAACAAAAGGAAAGTACATTTGTTTAGGATTAATTTTCAATCAAAATACGAACTGTTGCTGGTAGTGGGCAAAAATGGAATTAAAGCTGGAGCCAGATGTTGCACAGCTATACTGCGGATATTGCGAGAACAACACTACTCTTTCGGGCGCTTCCCTGTACGATAAATAGTGTTAGTGAACATATTTTTAGGCATAATACATTACTATACTTTTCAATCTGCACCAGCGTATCTTCTGTAAGTGGATTAACATACCGAAAACCCACATAATGCTTATGTGGTGCAGTTTCTGGAGATATGCGATCTAACTCCTTACACATTAGTTCTCCTTGTAAATCTGTCCATTTTAAAATAGGCGAGCCCCCACCAATTTCTTTGTACTTTTTTTGTACTTCGGGGGTTCGCCGTTGTGCAATCCAAGGACCTAATTGGCTTTGTACAGGCAACTGTATCATATCTCGATCAGTCATAATGCGTAACAAGTATTCATGGACTTGATCCGTATGCTGCGGGCCACCCATATTTAACATAAGAATAGCGGTCTTTACATTGCTGGCGGTGGCAGTAAATCGCATGGATGCGGGTTTCATTAGAGACTTCACTGCATTTGCTAATATATTACAAATATATTAGCACAAATGGCACATTCCCTCTTATACACATGTACTATATATGTTGTAAATATACGTTTTACTCACTTGCCAGTAACCCTCCTTTAAGTAACATTATTGCAATTTAAATGAAACAATTTGCTGAAAATAAAACGTGTAGATCCTCAAGTCATCAAATTTGCTGGCAAAATTTGTATTTCTATTATTTGCCGGCGTTGCAACTTGCAATTATTTTGCGATGATAATTCATATGTATTCGCCTTGGATGATAAAAAAAGCAAGGCGAATTCATATAGATTCACCTCAAGCAAGGCGAATTTCTGCAAGCATAAAGCTGGAACTCCATAGAAGAAAATTTAGTTTGTTGCTAACTTTACATTAGGGGTCTTCCCTTAAATTCGTAAAAGCCTCGTAAACCTCGTAAATTTACGAGATAAGTAAAAAAAACTGTCATACTTTTTTTGGAGCTCTATTTACGAGCCCCTCGTAAATTTACGAGGCAAATTTGATGCGCAAACTACCTCGTAAACTTAAGTGTTGCCGAGAGGCCGGAATATTTATACTAAAATGTATTATAAAATACCCAACAAACATTTAGGTTTGAGCTCAACTGGAGGTTAAGTTGAGAACTAAGGTATTCCTCAAATCTCCAGCATTGTTTCTCAACAGTACCTCAAGTGGAGGATCATAGCGTTCTCAACAAAGAGGGCTAGTTCTCAACTTGAACTCCAATATAGTTCTCCAATTAGTCTCAAACATATCATTGAAATACTGAAATTGAAATAATAAAATACCTTATACCTTTATGAATGAAACGACATACATAGTTAGAAGAATTAAAATATTATTTTTTCATTTTATTACCCTTTTGGTATTATGTAGTTATTCAATATCGTATTACAATAATTCACTTCACAGTATACAGTCCGACAGTAAGCTTGCCACTTGATTCACTTCGCGTTTTATTTTCTTTTAAGATTATTTGAGGATACTTTGCAGATTATTTATTTTTTGTTGGTAATTTTGCTCTTTATATAGCTTTAGTTCTTCACTTGATAACTAAAAATTCGTTTCTCTTCACTTTTTACGTATCTGCGCGTAGGTTAGAGATGAGTTGGAGACTGATGTTGGATATCAACTTGAGAACTATGAATTTCTTTAAGGTTGGAGAAATATTTTTTTCGTGTTTATAGGGTAATGAATATAAACGCAAAAAAAAAAATACGCGAATAAAATGAATGAATTTCATCCACTAACTGTATTGACTTGGGTTTTCTGCTTATTTTCGGAATTTTCCATTGAATTTTAGCCAAGACTGATAGAGATAAGATGGCAGTATGTTATGGAAAATACTATCAGTTGTCAGTTCAGCCATTTTCCGGCCAAATTTGGCCAGTTTCGATAGCAAACAGCCGGAGAAATTTCGGTTTAGTCGGAGGCCGATTTGTTAGCCGTTTTGTAAAAAAAAAATTAGCCGGTTTGGCCGATTTTGCTATTTACGTTGTTTTCTTAAAATTCAAATATTTAGGTTTCCATTTTTGACTAAGCGATCCAAAATCTGTTAGAAATGGCTACTAGCTTTATCACGGAGGTAGGGTCATATAAAATTGGGCCGATTTCGCTTATTTTTATTTTAAACGAATCTATTTTTTCTAAAGAAGGCCGTAACGGGGATTTTCTTCATAAAATGTTTGTTATAATTTTTTCCAGCTTGAATTTGCTACTTCTCTCCAAGAACTAGTCTTTCTACTTATGATTTATTTAAATAAAATATGTGAAATTTAATTGAAACAGTTTAGCCGTTTTTTTGCCAATTTAGCCGGTTGGTCCAAAAAGCTCTGGCAACACTGTTTGCGATTCAGGAAGTGTTAGTTACGGCCAAAACCGTCGCATAAGAATTAGGGTAACTGAAAGGGTAAGATAATTTCTTGAATTTATGAAGTGAAACTTCTTTAGCGGCAGTTGGTTAGTTGGGAGAAAATTGTCAAATTCAAGGGGAATAATACACATGGAAATGGTTCTCAGCGGTTTAGCGGTTTGAGAATAAAAACAAAGATGCCTAGAGGTACAAGCAAAAACTAAGATCAAAGTAAATCTAAACACTTTAAGGTAAAAGTGAAGAGGAATATGCAAAAATAAAGATAAATATGAAGAAAAGGATGAGGATGATGATCGATATTGTTATCGATAAAAAACTCGATATTTTTATCGATATAATAATCGATATTGTTATCGATAAAATAATCGATATTGTTATCGATACTGTTATTGATTAAAAAACCGCTATTGTAATCGATATAATAATCAATAAAATAATGGATATTGTTATCGATACAATAATGGATATTGTTATTGGTATAATAATCGATTAAATAATTGATTTTGTTATCGATTTAGTAATTTATATTGTTATCGATATGTAAAATAATCGATACTGATACTATATTTATCGATTAATTAATCGATTTAGCAATCGTTGTATTTTTCTATATGTTTCTGGATACTGTTATCGGTATTTTTATCGACATAATTATCAACACGGTTATCGATATAATAATCGGAACATGAAATGTGATCACATTACATGACATCACATCACATTATATCACATGATATGAAGAGACATCACATGATATTACATCACATAATATGACATCACATCACACGATATCACGTGACATGACATCATATGATATGACATCACACTATATGGCATGACATCACATGACTTGACATCACATGATATGACGTCGTATGACATGACATGGCATTACATGACGTCGCATCACATGATATGACATCATATGGTATCACATCATATGACATTACATCAGAGGATATGACAACACATGACATTACATCCTATCACATCACATAAAATCACGTTACATCTTATCATGTCATCGGACCTCATCTCATATACGTGAATAGAAAAATAAAAGGATATAAGCAAAGATGTGAAAGATAAAAACAAAGATGAAGACCAAGGTAAATTTACCGATTTCAAAACCAAAACTACCGTTGGAAAGGTAATTTTCTGTAGATGAGGAGTTTTATAGTTTCGAAATTGGTTGAAAATTGTCGTTTAAAAATTTTCATATTTGTGTATGGTTGTTTTTGCAACCTGTTCAATTTAAGCTGTTTCGCATTTTGTTTTGCTTGGAAATGAAATCAAACTTTGAAATAAAGATAAATATGAAGATGAAGAAACAAGTGATAACGATGAAGACAAAAAAGGCAAAAGTGAAGATAAAGACGAAAATTGAGATAAAGGCGAAAATGGAGACAATGAGAAATACATAAGAATTAGAGTAACTGAAGTGAAATTCTCCGATAGGAATCGAAATAAAATCAGCCATAAAAGTAACCGAAATTTATCTAATCATCGAAGTTTATAATTATCGAAATTTATCCATGCTTATTAAGTTATCGCAACGTATCGAATTATTCAAACTGATCAATGTTTATTGTGTTCTCGAAATTTATAGACAGAAAATCTTAGTTGTCCAAGCTTACGGATAGTTATCGAGCTATAAAAACGTGTGGGATTAACGAAATTTGTCAAGTTAAAGAAATGTATCAAGTTATCGATATTTATTGAATTATCATTATTTATAGACTTAACGAAATGTATCGAGGTGTCGTAATGCATGGAGTTCTTTCAACTTACAGAGTTATCGATAATTATTGACCTACTGAAATTGGTTGGTTCAACGATTCGAAATTTATGGAATTTTCAAAATATATCGATTTATCGAAATTTCAAGGTTATAGAAGCTTATCGATTTATCACTGCTTATCGAATTTTATCGTGTTAACTGAGTGTAACGAGTTTTCGAAAAATGTGGAGCTGTCAAAAGTAAAAATTTATAAAGGTATCCAAAGAATTTATATTTTTGAGTTATCGAAATTTATCGAGCCCTCGAATTTCATGGTTATCGAAATTGGTCGAGTTAAAGAATTTTGTTGAGCTATCGGATTTTAGTGTTTTTGAAATTCATCGAACTATCAATGTGTATCAAATCATTGAAATTTATCGGTAAACTTGAATTTATCGCGTCGATTCCAAGTCCTGCCGAGGTCCTTCAAAGACCTTCTCATATAAAAAAAATTTAGTTACGTTTTAGTTCCAAAGCAGAAGATCTAATGTTATGTTTTATAATAAATGAATTAAACATGAAATGAAATGACTCATGAAATTACTCATACGCCGTGTCACTGTGTTCGTTTACGCTAATCTCCGGAACCGCTTGACCGATTTCAATGAAATTTTATGGATGTGTATTGTTGGTTCGAACTTAAAATATAGGATAGTTTCGAACGCAACGTGCTTATCTTAATATATATAAAAACTAGATTATGCAACGGCACACGTTCGATCATCAAAGGCATCACTGGAAATGTTATTGAAGCAACAATTTTGAATGGAAATTTTAAGGGAGAAACCGTTATATTATCGCGGATACAAATGATACCATCAGACACGCTTCAATTTCCAATTCGCTGCCAAGCGGATGCCAATCCGCAATTTTTATCAACAAACGTGGGGGGAAATCATCGAATCTCTTCATATTGGCAATTGACTAGCAAAATATATTGGTAAAAAAATTGCACTAATATTGTATTTAATGCTTATTGAAGATGCCGTTTAACACCAATTAAATCGAAGATCGAATTAATTGAGCCCCTGCTATTTAATTTTTTAGTCCCAACTCGATCCGTGAATCGATTCGAAAAATTCGAGAATCGACATTCGATTTTTGTTCAATTGATGCATATGGATCTACGGTTTGCCCCGGAAAATCCATAAAAATTTAGAGAAATTTGAACTTTTGGCTGATACAAACAAAATATATGAGAAAGTAAAGACCAAGGAATTCAATGACCTTTCCCATCCGACTATAGGGCTCCTTAGGGAAGCCTCTTGAAAATAACTCTATACAAAATTATGGCTAATACTACAACAAAAACTCCAAATAGTGTAATTTCGTTGCCCGGTGGAAATCTGGTTGGTAAGTAAATATATACAGTCAGCGAAAACAAATTAAAAAACTAAAAAACGTCAGCATTGAAAACAAAATATATACATATACGTAAGTTCCATTAAACTTCTTAGAATAGAAGTTAATTTTGAAGTAAAACGTAGACCTTTTTCTCATTTGTGTTAAAAAACAAACAAAATTTCGAAAAACTTTTACAATTTTCATAAATAGTGCTAGCATTGAGTTTTCACTAGGTATTAGATGAAATTTTTTTAACCACTCTGTTGGGCGTTAAACACTACCCCTGTCATTGTGTTTGTCTCCACATTGCATTTTTAAAATGGTATAAATTTTTTGTCATTTCGTTGCCCGGTGGAAATCTGGTTTCTGTTAAATGATCACATCATTGTCTTAAGACTGATTTTCACTATGTCAAATACCACTGAATTTGACATAGTGAAAACCAGCCTTTAGTATAGAAACACCTTACCTCTTATATTTTTTTCAAAACTGTAGATATTGAAACCGTTATGGATAATGTATGTATGTATGTATGTATATTTTAAAAATTGCTTATGTACAATCAAAGTTTTGTCAGATCGCTGTATTTTGTTTCTTTATAAGAGCTAAGTAAAATACGTTATTTGACAAAATATATGAATCGATCTTGAGAAATTTATTTACTTTTTGACGATTCCTTCCTCCAACGATTTTTTTTTTATTTCGATCTGACATCTCTTAATCTTATTCGCTTATTATGATTATCTTTTTTTCGTTTTGATCTCAGTAAGCAGTGAAAAAATTCGTTGGCAGTTAGCATAAGAATTATGGAAAGATATTGCTAAACTATATAATTCCATTAAATTTCCATATAAGAAATCTCCATTTACTGCCCTATTTTAACGACTACCTCCCAAAGGTTTGTACATCGCTAATTTTACTTTTTTTTGATAACAAAAGCACTCAGATTTATTTTTCATTCATCGTTTAAATCAAACTGGTCAACATCTGTGTATACCGCTTTGCTTTCTAAAGACTTGCAATTAATTATTTTACATTCATTTAAAAAAACTTCAGAATCTAGAAACTCAAGACATTTGAAAAAAGAAGCATTGATTCGAAATTTTTCTAAAAATTTCCAAATATACAACTTCACGAATTCCCCATACCACACGTCTTCCTTTACTTTCTGTATAACTCAAAAACTTGCTATTAAAATTAATTTCAAATAAATGAACTGTTTCTTTTTTATCAATTACTCACTAAATCTTATTGCTTGGTATGATATGCAAATAAAATTATAGTTTAAAAAACTAAAACCTCTCTATTACTTGAGAATAGAAATCTCTGCATCTTTTAGGCGCATCAATATTACATAGTTACATCCCGAGCTAATAAAAGGGAGGTAATAATAATAATAAAAATCGCGTTTTTCGACAAAAAATCCCATCCGCCCTTTTTAGTCATAAAATCCTTCAAACTTTCAACACTGGTGGGGACACTGCTATTTTCATAATCAAGGCTGCGTTTGAATAAAGGCGTTTTTACGTACATACATGCATACATATGTACATATGTATATGTTATCCAACTGGAAAACCTCAAGGGTGGGATCAGTCACCGAGTGGAAATAGGGGTGACCAAGGCGCTACTTGTATTTGTATGTGCACGCTTATGTTTGTGATATAACGAATCGCAGCTCTTCGTTACTCGCTCGAGTTGGTTCGCTCTATACAATTTCTCTAACGCGTATCGTGGTTCTGCAAAACCTCGTAACTGACATTTGTGCCAAAAATGAGATTTGCTTACTGGAAGCTCCTGACATCAAGCCATATCCATTTATACAAAAATATCGATATTTAGATATAGAAGGTAGAGATTATTAGGGATAAAAGAGAGACCGTACTGAAATAAGATAGGCTTTACTCTCTCCTGTAAAATTTTGGCAACTACAAATATGAGGTTTTGCATTCTCTTGGTACGCGGTTTTGTACTTGAAACGACGATATACATGTATGTATGTATGTACATAAGTATGTATGTGTGTCGGCAGCTCTCTGATGAGTTATAAGCCATGCTTGTTGAAAGAAGTAATTATTGCCGTGAAAGCAAAGTTTTCCAACGCATTGTACTAATATCCAATTTGCAAACAAACAACGATATTGAAAATGTTGTCTGCTCACTGCAAGGTAGATTGTCTGTGAAACTTCATATATGTACATTAGGGTGGTCCTTAAATGTAGGAACCAAGTTTTTATATCAAATTTCCTAAGCCTCAACCCCTACGTCGATGCTACTATAGTCGAAGATATCACACATAAATTTTATACCCGATTGGAGACGGTTATCGTCTGTCGCACAGGGGGCAAATTTCAGATTCCTCTATGGAGACTCAAAAAATTAAAATTATTATTTTTTCATCTAATACCCATAATCGATACTACTTTAGTCGAAAATATCACATATAAATTTTGGCACCGATTGGAGTCGGTTAAGGCGTGGCGCACAGGGGCAAAATTCAGATTACCTTATGGAGACGTCTAAACCGACTCCAGTCGGGACCAAAATTTTTATTTGATATTTTCGACTTAAGTAGTTTTTGGGTATTAAATGCAACAAATATTTTTAATTTTTTGAGTCTCCATGGAGCACCTGGCCTTGGACTCCATTGCTACAGGCTTTAACCGACTCCATTCGGTACCAAAATTTGTGGTAGTATTGATCTTGGGTATTAGATGAAAAAACTTCATTTTAATTTTTTGAGTCTCTATAGCAGAATCTGAACATTGCCAATCGGGGCCAAAATTTGTGTGTGATATCTGTGACCGTGGCATTACCGATTGAAAGGGTGAGACTGAAAAACTCGCTCATTTGATTTTTTAAGGACCACCCTAATGTACACAGTATACATATCATAAAAACATACATACATATGTATGTGTATGTTTGTATGTTTGTATATGCATGATTATTAGGATGTCCCACAATTTGTTTTTAACGAACTTCCATATTTTTACTCTTCAATTAGACGTACACACTGAATTTAAGTTTAACTTTTAGCTAAGGACTTATACTGAGATTACCATAAACTAAATATTTGACATTTGTGCGATAATAAATCTCAGTTGTAGTAAATTACGTTTTTAAGTTTTCATTATATTGAAAGGTGCATAAACAATTTTCAAATCACATGTACTCTTTTTTTAATCTTAATCACCTTAGGAATTCACCTATCCAAACCCATTTTCTTGTACTTTCAGGGTCAGATCAGGGTGCCATAGGAGCCGTGTCCAAAATAAAATTGGTTTGAATAGTTCCAAAAAACACAGTCTCGAATAGAGTGCTTCGGATTTCCGGTGGCTACCGGAGTTAATGGGTAACATTTATTAATCCGCCAGTCGTTAGACAAATTATGGATACTTAGCGAAATATACTTTGCAGAGCCCTCCCATGACCTAGGAAGCCCAGATGGAAGACACATAACGGGTGTAACGCATCCCCTAACATTAATACTATGAAGCCTGCAACACAAACACCGATAGTCGTGTGTCCTCTAGTCTTAAGCTCACCACCCCCCACCCCCCAGCGAACAGCTGCGGATGGTCACAGGATCCGCTTGATGCCACGCGGAAGGGCCAAGATCAAACCAAGTCCATGACCAACTTGATGACCTGCTAAAGAGCCAAGTACTTCAAAAAAACGTACCGAGTATCGACCATCTTCCGACAAAGGAGAATCAGAAGAAAGGAAGACCAAGTAACTCTACGAAATGGGGCTAGCGCATGCAAGGTCCGGACCCGATCCTTTGCAACAAATGAAGCAGAAGGACCCTAATCCGCCCTCATCATTTACAAATGAGGATCCGCCCGACGACCATGAGATGGACTTATTTTTACACTATTCGCATATGCGGATTGAACCCCTATTCTTAATATGTATACGTTACTTAGGTCAAACAGAAATAATTATGTAATGGGACACCCTAATGTATGTAGATACATACAAATGTTCATACATACCACATGGACATGTATTAACGCTTTCAGTTCACTCCAGCTTGTGCTCATGGCCTATCGACAACGCTATTGAATATTTGTAAACTGAAAGTACTCGTACATATGTAGGTTTGTATGTATGTATTTGTATGTTTGTATGTAGCGATTCTACGTCCAACTCGAAAATAAAAAAATTCGTCAGTCACATTTTCGAGTTCTAACCACCCAGGTCGATACTGCGAAGCGCCCGCACGAAAACGACGGTATTTCAATAAAAATTTGGCAAATTTTAAAAATATTTAGGCACATACATACATACATATGTAGGCGCACTAAAAAAAACAAGAAAAAAGTCCAGCAGGAGCAGCGGAGTGATTATCTCCAACAAAATTTGAAAAAAAAGATAAAACGCCGGCATATGGTAATTTTGAACCGTAGAAAATAGTGAGCTAAAAAAACAGAAAAAGCACGATGCGAAGTATAAAGAAACACTTTTCGACGTAAAAGCATTCAGAATTTGTAATTTAGGCACTCAAACATCAGTGCATGTGTACGTACATATGTATGTATATATACATATAGTTATCTAGTTGTCCAACTTGCAACTTTAAAGTTAGTGTAAACTAAAAGTTACTATTGAAAACGAATCGCACGTGAATTTTTCTGCCATTGGCCCGACCGACAACAGGCTACCTACCAACACTCACTAATCGGTCTACGGCTAAAATAATACAACATACATACATACATATATAAAATATTAGCACCGGGAACACATACATACATAAATATATATATTTGTATGTATATTAGCAGCATTTTGCATGGGCACATAACGAAAATGAGGTGATTCGTCTGCGTAGCGCCACACTCAACAGTTCGCCAGTGACGTGGTTGCAGAACCACTTTCAGAGCGTAAACTTTCGGACGAGCGCTGAGAGCTCCACACTGAGAGTATGCTCAAATAGCATTCCATCCTAAATTTCCAAGAGAGTTTTATATTTTGAGGAGAAGTTTAAACATAAACAAATTGTATTTGAGACTACTTTTAGCCAAGCGTAACCGCATAGAAAAGCGTTTGTAAATAAACAATCTCAGAAATGGGTTACGATGATGTGCTTGTTCATCTGGGAGATTTTGGCAAATATCAACGTCTAATATTTTTCCTGCTATGTCTCACTGCAGTCTCTTGCGCCTTTCACAAAATGTCACGTGCATTTATATTTGCCAAACCGAGTTTCCGCTGCCAGCTTCCATTTGAGAATGTGGCGAATGTTGGCATTGGAAATAACGACACTGACCAACTACTACACAACGCTACCGACTTCAATTTGCCAGCTAACCTGTGGCGCTTGTTCTTTCCCTCGGATACAGCTGATCCGGAAATAGGACATTACGAGTTTTGCAGCTATTTTGACATTGATCATAAACTCTACCAGCTAGTTGACAACAACACTCTGGGACTTAATGCTAGTTTGCGAGACCGTCGTTTAGACGCTAATCGCACCGTTCCTTGCAGCAGCTACGTTTATGACCGCTCGAAGGTTGGCAACAGCGCCGTCACCGAATGGAATATGGTTTGTGATCGCAGCTATCTGGTAGCCACAAGTGATGCCATATTCATGCTGGGTGTGCTGGTTGGCAGTATTGCTTTTGGACAGTTGTCCGATAAGTTTGGTCGCAGGCCAGTCTTCTTTACATCGCTACTTTTTCAAGTAACATTTGGCATATTGGCAGGACTGGCACCCAATTATCTTACATACACGGCTGCACGTTTCATCATTGGTGCTACAACGTCTGGCGTATTCCTCGTTGCCTATGTGATTGCTATGGAGATGGTTGGACCGAAAAAACGTTTATATGCTGGCATGTTTCTAATGATGTTTTTCTCTATGGGCTTTATGTTAACTGCTGTCTTCGCTTACTTCATTCATGAATGGCGTACACTGCAAATAGCCGTTTCAATTCCGGGGCTATTGTTTCTTGGCTACTATTGGATTATACCAGAGTCAGCCCGTTGGCTGATTTCGAATAACCGGAAAGAAGCCGCAATTGCGAACATTCAAAAGGCGGCTCGCTTCAACAAAGTGCACTTAGACATAGACACAATTGATCGATTACTAAATGATAGTGATGGCATAGAAGAGACGAAATCCGAAACAACGAATCCCGAAGACACGCTGCAGAACCCTGTTAAGCCCGTTTCAGTATTTGATCTGTTACGCAATCCAAATCTGCGTCGAAAAACGCTTTTAATTTTTTTTGATTGGTTTGTGAATAGTGGCACCTACTACGGACTTTCGTGGAATACGAACTCATTGGGTGACAATATGTTGCTGAATTTCGTCATATCTGGCGCGGTTGAAATTCCCGCCTTCACTTTCTTGCTATTTACTCTCAATCGGTGGGGGCGGCGTACCATACTTTGTGGCTGTATGCTTGTGGCCGGATGTGCGCTTCTACTCACCATTGCTGTGCCCAAGGAGGCGAACTGGCTAATGATTTTGCTGGCAATGATAGGAAAGCTGGCTATCACTGCCTCGTATGGTACAGTTTACATTTTCTCTGCAGAGCAGTTTCCCACAGTGGTGAGAAATGTTGGCCTAGGTGCCTCTTCCATGGTGGCGCGCATTGGTGGCATATTAGCGCCATTTATCAATATGTTAAGCAACGTATGGCGACCGCTGCCGCTCATCATGTTTGGAAGCGCTGTATTTATGGGCGGACTAATGTCCTTGCTGCTTCCTGAAACGCTTAACAAACCTACACTTGAAACCATTGATGACGGCGAGAACTTCGGGAAAGCGGAAAATCGTAGAACTAACTGCAGCAGGGCTGTTACTTTAGATAATATGGAAAATACACCGTTGAATGGAAATCGTAGTCAAGCGGCAAATGGACAAAACAAAATGGAAAGTTGAGTGGGGATTAAGGTATTTTAGTTTATTGAGGCATATTGACTAAGTCTTTGAACGGATTACCTACCATACCTATTAAAGCTATAATTTGCAACGATTTTTTTTTCAAATCCTTACGTATTGTGATAAATGTACACACCTTACATTGCATTCATGTTAATATGCATTTGGAAAAATGTATAAATTCTCAACACTAATTTATAAATAATAAATACATATTTGAATTAAAACAAAATAAACGGAATTTGTGACATTCAAACTTTTACTAATTACCAGGAATAGTACACAAATTTAAAATTGAGCCGAAAATGGGACGAAATACAAATGAAAAGGCTAAATATTACATAGAGTTAGGAATAAAAAAAAATATATGATTCAAGCTCTTACCCTAATTACAGCGGACGACGGTAAAGCGGTTGGCGGTAAGTGAATAGCTTTACAGTTGCCGCAGTGAAATCCGTCAGAGTAAACACAACTGCGGTGCACGATCATGATTCAATAATTAAAGGTTTGCTCATTAGAGACATTCGAGTTTTGACACACACATACATTGCTAAGGGAGTCGATTTTGTCAACGGGAGCGAGAAAACTGTTTTTTGAGCAAACCTTTTATTAGCTCTGATCCATACATTTCGTGTAAAATCCTGTAAAAATGTCAAACAGCAAAATTACTCTGAAGTGAGCATAAAAAGTGAGTAACAACAAAAAGTACGCGAACAAAAAAAAAAGAATTTTTCTGGTAAAAACGTCAACCACTGATCGCTTAACACTTTTCTTGATTTTAACAGAAGAAAAAGTTCGGGTAAAATCTTGCAACTTCTTTCTCTACACAACTCTCCAAAAATCACTCTCGTTTACAGGATTTCGGAAGAATTTGGAGTACGGGAACATTTTTCCTGCAACTTCCTGCAAGATAAAAATTGGCAGACTTGTGAAAATAATAAAAATTACTACAATCGACACTCAATGAACATTGTGCCGTCCCCGCTGGGCGATAAAAATAGAAAAAAATTTAAATCAACCTACAAACGTCGGCGGAAAAAACGCTACCGCCGCAGTTATGAGCCATTCCACACGTCTTTGGGAGTTTTAACTTTGACAGCGGGTAACCGTCGACCGCTGTACCGTCGTCCACTTCAATTCTGGGTAGAGCTTTACCTTGGCAAGCAGCAAAATTAAAGTTTTATTTGCATAATCGCTTTTTGTCTGTAGTATTATCGAAAAAGCAATGACCGAAAGCGTTTTTCATTTTTCCGACTGAGCTCAGAAGTTCATATGCACAGTAAAATCTGCAGTAAGTATTTAGTACAAGGTCTTTGAAGCTTTACCTCTCAGAGAATATCACGGATACATCATAAGTATGTAATTTAGTAAATAAGTACCTGGCAGCAATGATTGAAAAATGTAAAAAACATGCATCCAAAAATGGCTAATCAATGCCGTTTTTATTCATAACGGCGATATGTAAGTGCCCAGTAGATAATTTCAGGAGTTAAAAGGCCTTCCTGGGAATCAAGGTCTTCCACTCTACATTGCTTTCTCCTTTTTTTGCATGGATTGGCACAAATTGAAGGGCTTCTTCTTTTGCTACTCTTAGAGGTCTTCCCGAAGAGCTTTTATAGCACGTATTCGTGTTCATTCAAGCGTGTTTCACTGTAACAGTTTTTATAGAAAATGATCTACACTTTCGTCTCACCTATTTTCATGATAAACCACACGATTTGGCTGTAAAATGCGAGAAGGCAATTTATGTGACCTTTGACCTTGAATACATTTTTTTGTAGACGTGGGATCGATGGGGACTTTTGGCATTTCATTCATAATGGTATTCGCAACACTCGTAACAATTTTCAGCTTTATGCGAATTATTGTAAGCTTTCCCCTTGTTATTGAGCTAACATGACTGGGCTAATTTTTATTTTTTGCCTAATTACAGTGAAACCTCTCCTAACGGACACCTCCCTTGGGCGGACATTTTTCCCTATACCAAGTTTTAAGTATAAATTTCGGAACAAATTACTCTCTCTTAAGCGGACACTCTCTTGGCCGGACGCGGCAGTTATTTTGCATAAAATTGACACAAAAACTCTATTGGGCGGACGCGAACCTCTTATCAACGGACATTAATATTTCTTTTCATAACAAATCAAACAAAAACCTCCGTTGAGCGGACGCGAACTCCTCATAAGCGGACTACTAAATGGAAAAAGGGGACTTCCCGCACAAAATGTGATTGTTATGCACACATTTAGTTTGGTTTGCGCAGTGGTTTAGGTTCGTTATTTGAATTGTCAGAAACCCTTGGAGACTGATAAAAACATGAAAACTATTGATGAAAAAGGTACTGACACTGAAAAAAATTTAAAATAAAACTTGCGTCAATCGACAATTTCCCAGTTTTTTATGTAATGAATCTATGATTTTATGTAGTTTATGGACTAAAATGTAATATTTATTTTTATTTTGTTATTACTGAATATGTACTTACGCACATAAATGAAATGTGCACTTTTGAAAAAATACATGCACATTTTTGTTTGAATGATGTAATATCAATATCTTTTATTCAAATAAGAAATAGTGACTATTCAATTAATTAAAACATTAAAAAGTTCTAAAATAGGCTTCCCCTCCATTAAGCGGACACCTCTCTTGGGCGGACAAAAAATGACTGACGGTGAGTGTCCGCCCAAGGGAGGTTTCACTGTATTTACATATTTTGCGCTACACACATGCACATTTCAAATATGAGCCAAGTTTGAATTTTTTTAATAATGACTCAACTTCAGGCCCACCTGGAGAGAATATGTTATCAAACCTTGTAGGTATTGTTATTCACGAATCCGCCAGGAAGAGGATGAACCAGATATGAAATATCAAAATATGGATGTCAAACGAAAGAGTGTTAAGACATCTTTAGTTTGGATAGCAAGAATATTTTTGAGGTGTTCGACGAGAGTAGCCCCCTGTTTAAAAAGTTAAATTCAAATTATTTACTAAGTTAAATGAATTATTAAAATATCGGTATCAATTGAAGGGGGTCGAAACATCTTTATTTCTGAAATATATTTAGCAGGGTTGCCACATGTTTAAACATCACTAAAAAGTATATATCGCAATATCAGACCAAGAAGAGTTAACAAGGTTTTAGCTTGAAAATACTTGTGAAGAGGGCTGCCACCCGTTTGAAAGCTCTAATTTAATTAACTTATAAAAAATTATATTAATATTAAGATATAGAGGTCAATCGAAAGAGAATTATGAAAGCTATAGTTTTAAAATATCTTTGATTAGGCTTACCACCTTTTCGAAAAGTCATGTAACTAGTTAAGTATATATTTATATATGTATATTATTGTATTTGTGATAGTCATTAGATTTGCGCCGTAAAGACCTTAGCCAATATATATGTATGTATGTATATTACACGAGAAGTAATTTTTTGTGATAGTCATTAAAAGTTTTTCGAATAGGCGGTCAAATTGAAGACCTTAGCGTGTAGTTTTATATTTTTAATTAAGAACTCTTTTTTTATCGGTATAAGATGATTTGAAATTTGATGAAATTAAAAACCTGCGTTACCGGAGAGCAGGCTGCACAATTTTAGATGAAGTATGGCATTCAGATAGCTTATAAATCTGACTAACATTTGGAATATTTTTTACGATTTTGAAATTCTATTTTGGGCGTTTTAACGCCACGCGGTTTCACTAGTACAAAATCCCATTAGAGTTTTTCTACCGCTATTCCATTTCACTTAATGGCTATCCACTCTACTCGGAACTTAGATCCATATATGTAATACTCCTATATTGGCAGTCACAACTAGTACCGTCTGAAAACATTACAGTACAGATATACATATAAATAAACACGTACACATACACTTAAACATGCGTTTACAAATAAACACCCTGCAGAAAGTCTGACTAGCTCAGAATTAGCGTAGAACTAGACCTTTTGCCGACAGTACTATTTCTAGCTCAACACCCATGCAATCCATTCAAATGTCCAGTTTTACACGGCGATGTCATTGGAGGTGGTAGTTTTTGGATATCTTTTTGTTTTTTCTTTTCTTTTACAGACTCCATGGCGCATATTCATAGTCATATTTAGTTCACCACTAGATAGTCGAAACTATCCTAAGTTACAACTAAAGCTATTCATAGTCACCTTAGTTTCGACTTTTCCGGCTAAGTACCAACTTAAAATTTATTTTCGGCTGCAGCTGCAATTAAGTCGTAACTAGGAAGAAGTATTTTATTAAATTAAGGAAAAAAGACGAAATATGTAAAAATTAAGTTGGCAGAGCGTGATTTTGATAATATTGAATGATCTCCAATTGAAATTTACAAAGAGCGATCTATTTGAATTGGAAGATGAAATTAAATGCGTATTACAATTCGAATAAGGCTGCATCACAATTTTATAATTGGAATGATTTACATATATAGATGCTCAAATATTAAGTCAATTTCAAGCTTGTTCTTTTAAAGCAAATTAGTGCATAACATATAGATATGTGTTTTCACAGCATGCTTTCGATAAACATCGACTTCACATCATTGCGGTCTGGTCATCTGGCTATTTCACACAATTAACAAGAAACTTATACCTTATTCTGTTGCATAAACATGCAATGAAAGTAAAAATTACTTAAACGGATGATCAAACTTGACATCTATATTAATAAAAATTTAATTTTTCCAAAATATCGTAAAGAAAAATCGATACATTTTCACACTCGTTTTGCAATATCGTAAAACTAAGTTAAAACTACTTAGTAGAAGTCTGAAATGCGACTATGAATAGAAGTGAATTTTAAGTTGGTACTTAAATTTAACTTGCAACTTTATTAGTTTCGACTTAGTGGCTGGACTATGGCGCCCATGTTTGTTACATATTTTATAAAAAAAAAATATTGTCAGCGGCACGCAACAGTTTAAATTCATTAAATCTGAAACTTACAACTGCCTGCACCACGACTTGAACTCGCGACCAACGATGCTTTTTAAGGGCCGTTTTTACGACTGCCCTAAGCGAAAAGGTGCTCTGACTTCCGTCAAATTTGTCGCTCACATGCATATAACAAGCAACCGGTAACGTACCCTGCAGTACGGGGGAACGACTACAGGACTGATGAATCGGTAGCTACCCGATAAACTCCGTCAATTATCGACCGACTACTTGCAGTGTATTTCATGGATTACTTTTACAGGGCAATGTCCTGGGCG